TGCTCGGGATTCTCTCTCTGCCCCTCCCTTGTGCTCACTCGCTCTGTCTCTATCTCTCTCTCTCAAAATAAATAAATAAACATTTAGAAAAAGTGAAAATAAGGAAAATCCATATACTGAGGAAAATGAACTAATCGTGGCATGATAACATTTAACTGAGCCTGGAATTATTATTTAGAAATAAAGTGTCAACATTTTCTGAACTTCTTGGTATGGTTTCACTTTCCTAATTAAGAAAATAATGTTTACTTTTGAGAGAGATGGAGCATGGTGAAGGTGGGGAGGAGCAGAGACAGGGAGACAGAATATGAAGCAGGCTCCAAGCTGTCAGCCCAACACAGAGCTCAAACTCACAAACCATGAGATTATGACCTGAGTTGAAATCTGGCACTTAACTGTCTGAGCCACCCTTTTCCCTATTTAATTAAAAAGGTATTGATGAGAATGGTGTTTCACCATGAGAATGGTAATTTGTACCCTGGCCTAGAAAAATCTTTAGTTCACATCCCTTGTAGGATTACTCATAAATAATAATCATTGATGGATAAATATTTCAATTTATTGTTACTAAAGACACAAAACTGAATTTCTCAATTTACTTGAATGTTATGTTCCTATATTAGAAAGAAAGTAAAACTGAATTTTCTTATTATTACTCTTTACTAAATTATTAAATACTTATATTTTCTAATCTTTTATTTTTCTGTAATGTTGTTATTCAATTCTAAATGCATTCTTGATGTCTTGATAACATAATGTTGTTCCTGCTGAGAAAATAAACTAAAACCTAAAATATGTTAAATATTTTCTCACAGAAATGAATGGCCTATAACTTTTTCCTTTTGAAACTAGTTTCCTTTTACCTAAATGAGTAGTTTCCAGACCTCCTAAAATGAAGAACTCTTATTACTAATTTTACCTTAAAATTCAGAATTGAATTTTGAAAGAATTGAATTTCTATATTTTATTAGTTGAAATATATATATTTTAATTAAGTTTTAGAGCAGATCAAAATCTGATCTATAAAGTAGTATATATTCAGTCAAAGTCAAATGTAACTAGCATCTGTTTACCTTGTGGAACATTATCTTAGTTAAAAGTATGATTTTCGTAAAATTATTTCTTTCCCTTCTCCAGTATAACTTTATAATACAGAAATTTTCAGCTTTCAAAATTAAGTAGTTCTGTGATAGGATGGATGTGAGTATATAACAAATTCCCAGATGCATGGAAGACTCTGTAGCCAGGTTCTAAGTTTCAAATGTTGAACACCAAAAGAAAAAAGAAAGAAAAAAAAAAGGAAAAGAGAAAAACAAAAACAAACATAAAAACTATTGTTAAACAGTTTCCTCTCTATGTTAGTTTCCTAATAGCTGGAAAATGGAACAAAATTCTAAGATTTGAAATATTTATACTAATGGACATAATTATGTGATCATCTCAATGAAAAACCTTCAAAGATATGGTACAGATATTTCTCTCTTCACAGATCAGGTTCTTAGTTGTCAGGTAGAAGGCACTAATATAAGAAGACAAGTGCAAAATATTTAACAAGAATCTCAAAAGTCAAATATTTTAAGAAAAACTCAAATGTAACAAATCTAAAATTTGAACCTCCATGAGTTCTTTCAAGTAAAGATTTATTTTACATTAAAGAGTATTATTGTAAGTCTTTTAAAATCTGTCCTTCTTTGTTGAAAATCACCTTAAATGTATTACTTTTCTTTGAATCAGGGTTCTTTAGAGCACACATACATAATCAATGTTCCTTGCCTTAAGAGTTTTCAAAAATCAGTTATATTCTATATTCTATAGCTTTTATTTTTCACAGTAAAACATATGCATGTGTGTGTGTATGTGTGTGTATATATGTATGTATCCATGCATATAATAATGATATAGCAATATATTTCTGAATTGCTTTTCTTAACCAAAAGCTTCAATGTTCACTGGGCATTACCAAAATTCTCAGTTAGCTCTAGGAATAACCATACAGTGATGCCATATACAGATTCTTCACTTGTAAGCCTGGATTAATTTAATAATGACATTTTAATTTGAAATATATGTTTGATGGGAATGAGTGTAATAAATTAATAGACTTCCATAGGAGTGAAGATTATTGCTTCTTATATATAAGATGTTTTTAAACTTTCAACATTTAAATAAAATGTTGGGGCTAATTCGTTATATTTACTAAAAGAATACTTTTATCTTCCCTGAACAATGTGTGATTGTAATAGTGTTCATGTGTCAGCTATGTTGTGGAACCTCAAATACCATAGTGAAAGAGTTACGAATATCCAAATAATAAAACGTTTACCAAATAAAGTATCCACTAATTCCTTAAAATAACTTTATTTTTATTCAAATAATCTTCAAATATCAAACTCAAGTGGATATAATACCATATGGTTTAATTATTAAACAACACAGAATTAATCAAATGTGTTTGTTCACATCATTGATTTAATCATAATAAATTCTCAATATTTGATCGACAAGATGGCTTGGCAAGGAGAGGCAGACCTTTCTGACTCCTCTTTATTCTTTTATCTAATCTTACTAATCATGTTTATTGTTATAACTGGGTAGTCTGAATCTCTTGTTATTGAGCTCTTTACAAAGGTTAGTGGGTAAAATGTGTCATTGCATGAAAGTCCTATAAACTAATAAGCATTGTTCCTGGAATATAGCCTCTAAGGGAGAATGAAACCAGCATCCTGTATCTCCTCCCTGTGTGTGTACTAAAGCTAATGGAGGGTGAAATTTGTTTCTTTAGATAATTTTAAGTGAGCTGATTACCATCATCAATTTTATCCTCATGATTCTAATTTTTATTTCCTGTTCTTTCTTTATACCCTTCGATTTGTCACTGCATGTCTCAGACACATAATGCTCCATATCAAAGGGAATCAGCAAATGGAATTAAAATTATGGATACCTTAAAGTAATACAAAGCTGCTGATTTTTTCTATTTTTTAAGTGGGTCAAGGATAAGTGAAGCTACTCCTCATTTTGAAAGCTGTAATTATTTATATTCTTACAAATTTAATATAGAGGAGAAAGTGACAGTTAACTAAAACCTAAACAAATCATATTTCATTTGATAGTAGTTTTTGAAAAAAAAAAAAACCTTGAAGAATGTTTGTAGCAAGTTTCTTGAAGTTATTCTTATTACAGAATATTTGTCATTATTAATTTTGACAGTAGGGGATCCCTTTAGGAATATTGACTTATAAACCTATTGAAGAGGGATGGAGAGGAACAGTGCCAAAATCTGTGGCTGGGTATGTGTTTCAAAATGAAAAAAAAAAATAACAGAAAAAAAAAAAACTAGCAGGTACAAAGTAAAAGGGCTTAATGGCACAAAGTACTAACACTAAAATGTTTGCATGCAATTTTGCTGCTTAGTTGGGTTTTTCTCTTACTTCTAATAATAGAAATACATCTAAGTCTTCATTAAATTTTTCCCATTAATAACATGGATTATCACATAGCCATCACTTCAGAATATCTCTTGAAAGAATGAATAAGTGAAAGTAAGTGAAGAATGAGTGGGAAGAAAAAAAATAAAGCTTATTTAGTGGCTACTCATTAATGTACCAGGTATTGTTTTAAATATCTTACATATAATCTTATACGAAGATTTTATCATTTAATCTTCATGAAGACCTTATGAGCTTTCTAATAGATTATTCTCATGTTACTATTGAGGGCAATGTGGATAGAGAACTTAAATAACTCCCTTGGAATCACAGAGGAAGTAAGACACCGAGTCTAAGTTCATACTTTTAACAGTCATTCCAGTAATGCATTACTTGATTTTTGTTTAATAGCAGTATGGTTAAGATACAGTGTTATATTAGTTTCAGGTGTGCAATATACAGACTCAACAATAACATGGTCACTAGGCATTATTAAAATGAAGGACTTTGGAAATTCAGATTAGAATTGGAAATTTATAAATCTTTTATTTATTCCTGATAGGTGAATCTAAAAAGATGCTTTATCAAAACATTTAAGAATTCTATTACACATATTCACAACACTGAAAATATAAACATTTTCTTCTTCATGTTAGATTAGGATGTCATATAGTTTGCTCTCATATTCCAAGAATGGAGTTATCAATTATAGCTACTAGATGCTAGAGAATATTTTACTACCCTAAAAGAAGATTAATTACTTTTGTTCTGACTATAGTATGAAATAACATAATTGAGAACTGTTAGTAATATTTGCCTGTGGTAGTATTTCAAAAATTTCCTAATATGTTAATATTAAAAATATTATATATATTTTTATGTGAGTATATGTGAGTAGTCAGGTTTGTTTTCAGAGGAGAAAAAATTCTCTCAATTTCAAAAAAAGTAATAAAATACACTGCATGAGTTTTATGTCATATTTTAAAACCCACCTAGTAAATAATAAAAATTGCACTGGGGATATGTTGTTGTTAACCTAGACTTGCCCTTCCTGTGAAGTGCATTTCCAAGATGCAAAATGATCATTCCACAGGCTATGAATGGATTTCCAAACATTGAAAATTCATTTGAGTTTTAGTAATACTGAAGAATAAATAACTTAAATAACTTATTCATGAAGCTTATGGAATTGTGATACACCAAGTTATTACATACATAGAAATGTGAAATTTAGAATAGGTACCATTTAGAATTCATGAAATGTACTGGTCACCTCAAATTAGTTCCAAAACCATCTATATTTTTATGGACTCTATTAAAGTCCAAAAGGCTTTGAATATAAACTATTTTAATAATAGACATTATACCGTACATAAACTCAAATGTTTATTCAATATAATTTTTTGATTTACCACTGGTAGTAGTGAGCTAGAGAACTATATACTCTCTCACAAGAAAACATGAACAAAAACTCTATTTTGTACTGTTTGCCAATTTACACGTTTTAAATAATCCTTTCACAATGGATTTCAAGCTATTATGACATCACTGAAAATGGAGTCATAAGGAGTTTCACACCATCACCCCTCTCTTAGCCCCATTTGGGATATCTCAAGCACACCACTGATAACGTTCATGTGAGTATATGAGACAGAGCAGGGGGCATGAAAACCTTCATGGGCTCTACTGCTAGAGAGACTGAAATTGATTCCAGTTGTTAGAACAAGGCATTTGAGGAACTGCTTTCTAATATTTATATTGATTAATGATTCTTTCATAAGTTACCCTCATGATTTAATTGGAGATTATTCCATCTTTTTACAAACACAAATATTCTACATGTGTTCCATACTTTAAGACAAATACTTTCTTAGCATCTGTTTAATTAATGTATCTTTTTAATTTGAAACATATTTGACATGTAACATTGTATAAACTTAAGGTGTACAACACGTTAATGTTTTATATTTATGTACTATATAATATGTCATTGTGGCAATAATTAGCACCTTTATTACATTTAATAACAATCATCTTTTTGATAGAATAATTAATATCTAGTCTCTTAACAAGTTTGTTGATTATAATATTGTTGTCTATATTCACTATACTGTGCAAAGGACCTCTACGGCTTATTTAGTACTCATTTTAAGTCTGTACTCTTAAGTGATATCTGTCCTGTCTCCAAACCACCATCCCCTGTAATCACCATTTTATTCTGTATTTATGACTTGGGCTTTTTTCGATTTCACATATAAGTGATATCATACAGTACATCTATCCTCTGTTGACTTATCTTAGCATAAAGTGCCAAATTCTATCCATGTTGTTGCAAATGATAGAAATCCCTCCTTACTTATGGCTAAAAATTATTCCATTGTTTGTTTGTTGTATATATATATATATATATATATATATATATACTTTTTTAAAAGTTGTTTTACATTTATTTGAGAGACAGAGTATGAGCAGGGGAGTGGCAGAGAGAGATGGAGACATAGAATCTGAAAGAGGCTCCAGGCTCCGAGCTGTCAGCACAGAGCCCCATGTGGGGGTTGAATCCATGAACCCGTAAGATCATGACCTGAGCCAAAGTCTGGTGCTTAACCGACTGAGCCACCCAGGTGCCCCTACATATATATTCTTTATCCATTCATCTGTTGAAGAACACTTAGGTTGTTTCCATATTTGGCTATTGTGAATAATGCTGCAGTAAACATGGGGGTGCATGTATCTCTTTGAGATCCTGATTTCATTTCCTTTGGGTATATACTCAGACATGATTTGCTGGATCATATGGTAGATCTCTGCTTAACTTTTTGAGAATCTCCATCTCATATCCCATAGTAGGTAAATCAGTTTGCATTAATGATATTGGGAAAACTAGATAAACATACAGAACAATGGAATTAAACCCTTGTCTTACACCACTCACAAAAATGAACTCAAACTGAATCAAAGGCAAACATAAGGCCTGATACTATAAAATTTCTAGAAGAAAATATAGAGAAGAATCTCCTCAACATTGGTCTGGGCAATAATTTTTTGAATATGACACCAAAAGCACAAACAACAAAGCCAGAAATCAACAATGTGACATGAAACTTTAAATTTCATGCATAGATGGGGCACCTGGGTGGCTCAGTTGGTTAAGCATCTGACTTTGGCTCAGATCATGATCTCACGATTCGTGGGTTCAAGCCCCGCGTCGGGCTCTGTGCTGATAGCTAACTCTGAGCCTGGGACCTGCTTCAGATTCTTTATCTCCCTCTCTCTCTGACCCTCCCTGGCTTGCTTGCTCACTCTCTCCCTCTCTCTCTCTCACTCAGAAATAAATAAAACAGTATTAAAAAAAAGATCACGCATTGAAAAAGAAACAACAAAATGAAAAGACAAAGAATAGAAGAAAATTTTGCAAAGCAGATAAAAAGACAAAAGCTTACTATCCAAAAAAATATAATTATCTTTGAAATGGAAGTACGCGTAGACACTTTTAGAAGGGAGAAATGATTAGATACAGTTGGAACTGTAGTGTTGGGCCAAAAGAAAAAAATATATATAATTCTGTTGAAGCCAACTGAATTATCATTCACTTCCTTGTTTTGATTCTTTTATAGTTTATTGTCAAGTTTTTTTCTATATAATACCTATTGCACATCCCAACAAGTGCCCTCCTCCATGCCCAGCACCTCCCTTCCCGTCTTCCCCACCCCCCTCAGCCCTCAGTTTGTTCTCAGCATGCAAGAGTCTCTCATGGTTTGCCTCCCTCCATCTCACCAACTATTTTTGCCTTTTTCTCCCACTTTGTCCTCTGTTAACTTCCTCCTAATCCACCTATATATGCAAACATATGGTATTTGTCCTTTTGACTGAATTATTTCACTCAGCATAACACCCTCTAGTTCCATCTATGTTGCTACAAATGGCCAGATTTCATTTTCTCATTGCCATGGAGTATTCCATTGTATAAGTATACCACATCTTCTTGATCCATTCATCAGTTGATGGACACTTAGGTTCTTTCCATGTTTTGGCTATTGTTGAGATTGCTGCTATGAACATTGGGGTACATGTGCCCCTATACATCAGCACTCCTGTATCCCTTAGGTAAATTCCTAGCAGTGCTACTGCTGGGTCATAGGAGAGTTCTGTTAATTTTTTGAGGAACCCCCATACTGTTTTCCAGAGGGACTGCACCAGTTTACATTCCCAACAGTGCAGGAGGGTGCCCGTTTCCACATCCTCCAGCATCTAGAGTCTCCTGATTTGCTCATTTTAGCCACTCTGATTGGCATGAGGTGGTATCTCAGTGTGGTTTTGATTTGTATTTCCCTGATGATGAGGGATGCTGAGCATCGTTTCATGTGTCTGTTGGCCATCTGGATGTCCTCTTTGGAGAAATGTCTGTTCCCGTTTCTTCACTGGATTTTTTTTTTTTTTTCAGGTGTGGAGTTTGATGAGTTCCTTATAGATTTTGGATACTAGCCCTTTATCTGATATGTCATTTGCAACTGTCTTTTCCCATTCCATCAATTGCCTATTAGTTTTATTGATTGTTTCCTTTGCTGTGCAGAAGCTTTTATCTTAATGAGGTCCCAGTATTTCATTTTTTCTCAAAAAAAAGGCAAAGGAATCAACACTTTGTTTTGATTTTTAAAGGTTTTTTGTTGTGAGTCTAATTTGAATAATTTTTAGGCTGCTGGGTACTTATATTAATAATAGATTGAATAGAAACCACAGTTACCTAGCACTGAGTGAAGAGCAATAACACATATGAGAATGTATGTTAAAGTTTCTGCATGCCAGACAAGGTTTTTTTAAAATTTATTTTATTTATTTTGAGAGATGGAGAGAGATGGAGAAAGAGCACCCACAGAAAAGGGGCAGAGAGAGAGAATCCCAAGCCAGCTCTGCACTGACAGCATGGAGCCCCACACAGAGCCCAAACTCATGAGATCATGGCCTGACCCAAAATCAAGAGTCCAGAGGCTTAACTGACTGAGCCACCAAGCACCCTACAAAAAGTATTTCTTTCCTGAAGTCTTTCAAGACTTTATTCCTTGAAAACAGTAAAGGCAAAAGACACATTTTGCATCCATGAAGGATCCCTGTTTGTTTTGTATTAATGAAACAATCTAAACATTTGGTGTTTTCCCACGAAAAATTGAAAAGTAAAGATATAGGATTAATATAAATGTTATGAACTAAAAACTAAACAAAAATGCCAACTTTTTATATCTTCATCTGTTCTTCATTTGCATATAGTTCCTTACCTGAAGAAAAATAAGTTAAGTGGTTATTGTGGAACAAAGTCTGCTTTCACAATTGAAGGAGGAGTTTACCAGTGGTTAGCTTTACACCGGAGTTTGAAAAATTCTTCATTGGGAGAATTTGTTCAGGAATTTCAAGCTCTATTTTGTTTGTTGGTTGGTTATTTATTAAGAGGAGAGAGCTACATGACTCAATCAGATAGATAGAAAAATCTCTATTAACAGAGTGTTGTTTCAGAATGGATTTCACATCAGTTCATTAAGGTCCTTCTTGTTTCATTTCCATGATTCAGCTTAATTTGTGAACTTGACACCAACCTATTGAAATAGAGAGCTCGAGTTCTGTTTAATGGTAATGAGGCAGAAAGAAGCCACAACACATACTTAAACTCTATGTTGTCTTCCACTGGAAGCACGAGGAGAAGCTATTCACTGATCAATGTTTATTTCAGTTCACATAATGCATTATTATCCCAGTTTTTAAAAATTTTTAATGTTTATTTTTAAGAGAGAGAAAGAGAGCAAGAACAGGGGACAAGCAGAGAGAGGGAGACACAGAATCCAAAGCAGACTGCAGGCTCAGAGCCTGATGTGGGACTCAAACTCATGAACCATGAGATCATGACCTGAGCTGAAGTCTGTCGCTCTACCAACTGAGCCACCAAGGCACCCCTACATGATGTGTTACTAAAGAGGTAACTGCATGTCAAATCTTTACTAGTTCTGGGGATACAAAAATGAAGAAGGAGAAATTTCTTCAATTAGCCATAGATGTAATAAGCAAATAAATATAAAATACATCAAGTTAAAAAGGAAAGCCAGATGGAGGAATAGAGTATACAGGAGTGACTCTTTTATGTTGGTGTGTCTACAAAAAGACAAAGATAAAAGATAAAATAAAGAAGTAAGCCATATAGATATATTGAGATGCATATTTCAGAGAAAGTGGCAAGTATAAAGGCTTTGTGTTGACAGTTCTCATGGTGTGTACAAAGAGTGGAATGCGGGAGTAGCAGGATATGACAAAGGAAAAGTTGCCAGTAGCCAGAGTTGCTTTTAATTGGATTCTAAGTGGGATAGCTAAAGAATCATTGGAGATTTGGCTACAAAGGTATCAAAATAAGATTTATATTAAAAACAACAAGTGGATGTTGAATAAGAATAGAATGGGGTATAGAAAGCAGGTAGATGTTGAGACACAGGAAAGTGTTCCAGTGGACCATGCAAGGGGGTGTGGCAGTGATGGATGTTATGAACATTATTTGAAAGCAGAGTCATCAGGACATGCACACATTTTGGAATATGAGAAAATGGAGGAGCCATGGTTATGCCATTTTTTTGGCCTGATTATCTATGTGTTATGGTGC